TAATAGTTATCAAAGGTATCAGGAATATAATTTAATACGCCAGACGTGCGTTTCGTCTACATAAGACCCATCAGTGACGCTCAGAACAAAATCGTTATTAAGCCAAACAAGTACAAAGTTGAAAAGCATTGAAGACCCACAATTCCAAAAAGGTGTGCCAAATACGGCTAAGGTATTCCATTCCTGGGATAAGAAAATAATTTTTGAATTTTGATAACAAATGATTCAAAGATTTATAGACCTTATCGTCAGTTTATAACGGTAAAATATCACCTTTTTGTGGTGATCTGTATAGAATCCCCACAAAACTATACAAAGCAGTATATGTGTACATTATCCAACGATTACATGAGGCTTTTAACATAGGATGTAATATCAATTATATGCGAAGTTATGACCCAAGCAGCTAAGCTTCAAAGACCAATGGACCAATATATTAAACAATTTTAAAATACATTTGACATGAACAGTTTCATCCAATAATCATCTTAAAAAATACTTCTGCTCTGAAACATATCATATTAAGAACTCCAATCCCACCTACATTGTACACAATGTTTACTGTAAGTCGACAGAGGCAGTTAAATATATTTATTTGTATTTGAGCAATATTTAACCAAACAATACTTAAACGTTCCTATAATCCTACACATTTCAAATTGATCAGTTAGTATAGTTGGATTACACTTGTTTATGTTGATGTGGTGTAAAATGCTGAAAGTACATCGATTTTAAAAACAAATACATTGAAAGTACGACTTCAGTTCTTATTGTATATGCATTTAATAAGCAGAAGATATAATATATAGTACTACTCCACCTTCTCCTATGAGTCATGTACATTATTGCCACCACTTATCTTCCTAAAAAAAACTACCGATACGGTTATCATTGCTAGAATAATAGAATAATGCTGAAATGCAAGTGTTTTTATTCATCGAACAATTTGAGATAGGGATACTATGATTAGTTAAATTTCAAGATCTACCTACTATTGATTTCAGCCAAGATAATAAGGCGATGCTGTACTGAGGTCCTCACATGGTGAATTATCAATAATTTAGGCGTTTTCTATATAATCCACACAAACAATTGGAATACATTAAAAAAAAAAAAACACGAAGCAAGCAAAATGTGATGATCTCTACAAAATATTTCAAATCGCTCATTGTTTATGTTCAACATTTTCAATAGTGCATCAGACGAACATCAAATGGCAGGGTTGGCCTATTAATGGCGTAATCGTAAATCCTCAGAAACGAGTACAATGAGGCCCATTAGTCATTATACAGCTGGAATGTCTCCTAGATTATTGTTTCGTGATTAAAACGAACTATTATTTTGTATTCCGATGTTTATATTTTTAAGAGTACTATGGTTATATGACTAACTTTTGGAAAAACTATCTCATATATAACGATTAGTATTGTCTATCCATATCTGTGTATTTGAATGAGAATAAAATGATTGTTTCGATGTACGTCAATAGGATTGACACCCGAAGATATATAAAAGCTACAACATTTAGAGGTCAACATAATATTATTAGTAAACAATTGTTTTTGCAAGATGGCAAACATGAAATCAATTCGAATGTGAACGGTTTTTTATATCTCAGACGTCCCATTATTTTATATCAATAAGTTCAATAATTGATTGTTCAACAATAAGCAAGTATAGAAAATAGTCATCTTTTGAAAAGCGCAATAGTATAAACCAAAACAAAGATAAAAAAACAAACAAAAATAGTACGATATTGTATTTATTACTACAAAACATGGTTACATTGATACCTAGTGTCCTACAATCTGATGCCGTTGGTTGTACTACAGAGATGATTTGATAAAGAATCGTCAATAACAGCATAGGTTACTATTAGGTTTACTTATATGAAAATATAACAAATAACTTAAAATGTACCAGAGAAATGTAGCAACAAGTGACAGCAACACCTGTATATGCATCAAATATCTCCTAGTTGATACTTTAGTTTAGAGGTTTTCATCATAACTTGGATGACAGATGTGAAAAACAGATGCCCATATATACATGTTATTCGATACTCATCCCGTTATCTTCTTTTAATGTGACATTAACGAATGCGACTTGCTACCAAATTTGTTTTTCCCATCAGTCTAGCCAAACGGATTACCTATCCGGAACAAACAAGTTTATACTGAGTTTTGTGTGAGGTACTTGTTGCTCAATCTTGTTTTCTGTGTGATGTTTTTTTGTAAACTGTAGTCGTTTTATTTTTGGCCATTGTGGACTATTGGACCAATGATTTTTGATTGCCGTCTTGATATTCGTACTTTCTTTTTTAAGATTTATAAATCATATAAACTAAACGACAATTTGTGATGTTATCATTGACGAATTGTTCTTTGTTTACAAACAATCAAGCAGATACAAGATATTGCAACTATTTCGATTTTTCAGAAAGAAACAACTATGCAGGCAGCATTCAAAACAAGGAATTTCAATTGTTCAAAATTACTTCAATGCAATGTAAAAGTCAATTGAACTTTTTCCAAAAGTGTTAGCTTCATGTGTTTCATACATCACATGATACATGTCTATGTAGTTAGTTGTTTCGACCTTTAACGAGACGCATGGGCCGTGATATAGTATTTATGGTTTACAATTACGTTGTTTGTCACAATTTATGTTTTTAGTTTTTTATTTATCAATACAAATGTCCTGTATTATAGATTGATAATATTTTCGTGTAAGTAAAAAAAAAAGTCTAAATCAAACCATCATTGATCACAATTTTCCTACCTGTCGTTGTGTTGCTTTCTCATTTTTCTTTTCGTTTTTGTCGGTAGTAGTTCCTTATTGACGTGTCATCATCCAGTGAGATGCATCAAAATAAAAAGACTATCATTAAATGTAACTATCTGTCGTGAGTTAAATTTGTTTAACATTTTCAATTTCGTACACTTTTTTATCCCTTACTTCGACAAATCATTCATATTTCTAAAATCAGATATTTTTTATCCGAACAATAAGTAGGAGGCTTCAATTTGATTGCAAAAGATAGTAATACTGTTTTTTAAAAATGTATTAACGTTGCCAACGTTGTGCAGAATATATTGTATGAAATAATAAAAGAATAGAATATTACTCACCGCAGGAAAAACTAAAAAGTTTGGTCTAGTTCTTACATTAATAGAATCTAAGTCTTAATATTGAATTTTTTTAACAATCTTCATTCTTATATAACAAGTTGTTGTATGCTAATACAATAACCATGCTAAACCGCATTTTAAAGTTTAATTCTATGTATTATGATCTACTCTAAGAAAATTTGATATACTAGTAGGATACAAATGACTTAAACATTTAATAAATTGTCAAAAAGGTAGACCTATACTCGTGTATTTATAAGAGTAGTATATTGTAGTTGTTATTGTTGTAGGGTTATCTATGTAAAAATTAAACTTGAAATATATGAAAACATAACAATATTAAATATGCAAGATTTGGACGAAAATACAAAAGCAAATAAGCAATATCACAAAATAAAATATAATCATATGTAAAGAATACAATATTAAAGCAACAAACAATTCACCATCAACCGTATATACATGTATGTAAAACAAGCATGCATTACAAGCTTACTTAACAAATACGAAAACAAAAAAATGCAACAATATCATATATTCTAGAAATTTTGTTTCATTATTTAGATCTATGAAAACCAAGTGATTGTTTTATCAACAACAGGTGAATTTGTGCAAACAGCTTTGACGTGCATCTGCATATTGGTTCGTTGCGTTCATATTTTTTACTCCATTTTAATGTCTAGACTTTTACATTTCTACATGATTAAGTACCCATGTTTCATAAATATAATGGCAACCAATATATGTATACTGCATTTCAACCCTAAACAGTGCTTCAAATTCAATATTGTTGTTATACCAATATTTGACACACATACTGATGATAAAATTAACAGTTAATTAAAATGTTGCCGCAATATCTAACAGCTACTATTTGCATCTGCGAAAACAGTTATCAGTCACCGATAGGTAACCTGTCACAAACTACGAGACTAACCATCAGGGAATAGTTTTGCACATGGTGTATCTTTAAAATATCTTGTTTTTGGTTGTTATTAAGGGGTGAAAGTGCCATATTTTAGATGTTTATGATAATTATTACAATACGTAGAATAGTTATTATCATATTATAGAACAATGTAAACGCGCAGTTGGTTTCCGATAAAATTTTTATTAAGTCTAAGAAGACGGATGTTTACATACCTGATTGATTCAACACAAAAATACTGTCAATTGTGGTGGTATCATTGTAAAGAACAGTTGACGTGGATCTTTCTGTTTTATTCGTTATTAATAACTGACTGTCGCTAGAGTAGTAAATATAACTACCGAAGACTCTAATGGATATGTACCTGCTACGACTATTTTTTTGTTGAAATGATCGTTTTTACATCAGAGCCATCAACTTTAACTGATTTCATGATACCATCGGAATTAATCCAATATAAACTGTTTTCATCAATGTCTTTAATATTTAAAAAAAAATGTTATACAGTTATAACTGATTCCTCTATCAATAATTTATGAATAATACGACTGGTTTCAACAAGTGTAAACTTCACAATTAAAGCACTCAGGTGAGTCCAATTTCCTAGTTCCTGTGTCATCCACATGGCTAGGATCTTTATCATTATCCCTACATGTTTTCAATAATCTCATACTTTTTTCTTCGCTACTTGTTGCTGTTAAAGGCATTTTTTATACAGAATTGCGAATTTCAGATTGTTTTGTATTTGTTTGTATTAAATGCATCGAACACCAACAATGATTTTTTTTTGACAGCCGTTATAATGGTTCACGCAGAATATTGAATTTGTTGTCTCTACTAAATTGGACCCAAAAACTTCAAACATGTATCAAATTGTTCTTTAAGTACTGAAATAGCTTCTTTAAAGTGAAGACAAAAACAGAAACTCAAAACACTGTCATAAAAATGCAAACATTCATTAAAACATAACTACATTTATTATCCACTGAAAATAACAAAAGAAAAATCTGCAAACATGTAAGTATACACCTCCTTGTACATGTTGTAATAGAACATGTAAAAATCTTAGCAGATGTGCAGTTAAATATTGCCAAAATGTCTGTAGTAGAACATGAGGCATCTACAGTGGCTGAAATGGAAGCTCCTATAATTGAATTGAAAAAATATTAATACAAATATCAGCCAAAATGAGGCCTGTCGTCAACCACTTGGCTAGAGTGAATGTGAAACTTAACGAAGAGTTGCACAAGAAATCAACACTGTGTATTCCTTCTAACTATAAGATGTTTTCAGATTCCAGAACTATTGGTATTATGTGTATGTGCTGTGTATCTGACGACCGTTTTTTTTTTTTTTTTTTTTTTTTTAAACAGCAGTACGTTATAATATTGTATTTATATATATATATATGCTATCATTTGCAGAATATAACTTGACCACGGTATGGTTTAGATAAATCACAGTTTAGACTGATTATTATTTGGAAATAATTTGAAACTTATCTTTGTATAACCCATTGAAGTAGACATGCTATTTCTTTCGCAGAAATCCTGAGACATTGTTTTGATTTTTCTTTGGCCGTGTTGCCGATCTGTTAATAAAGATATATCCTTACAAAATTAGTTAAATTACTGGTACCATTTTATTTTTCACCAGAATCGAGGCAAAAATCTTCTAAAATCTCAATCTTATTAACAAAAAATCAAGAGCTTTATAAACGGATAAAACACCGGATAGACGGACGGGTTTTTGTTGGAAGAACTGCTAGTATGTCTTTCTTGTATATCTTTGCCTTATATCTCTTTAAATGCCTTTAAAATTGGCATACATTTATATGAAGGCTTGTATGTCCGTTGTTGGTGCCTATTTTCATTCAAAATATACAGATAAGTATACATATCGATTGATCATAGATGAATATACAAAAAAAGAATATTATAATTAAAACAAATTCAAATTATAACATGTTAATATGATTCCATCGTGAATTACAAGTGACAACGTACCTATATCCATGCACAAAACAGGTGTCGAAGTAAAATTAACGATTGTCTGCTTTTCAGCTAAATTGAATCTAGATTTCGATATTCCTGAATAGCTTTCACTTATATACATCCATCTGAAAGACAAATGGAAGTGTGATAACTTGAGATAAATAAAGGTGGAGTTTCAATGTGTGTTTTTTTATATATGTGTTGTTACGCTATTTATAATCAATTAAGAACTGGTCAGGTGATACTAGGTGAGGAAGATGATTTAAACCTGTGATTGCTACTTAAATTGATAACATAACACAATACCCAATGTTTCATCAATTGCAAGGTTGATTAATTGTTGTCAATTCGAGTTCAGTGAAAGATAGTTCGAGCCTGAGAACAAATTTATCATTAACCAAGGGTAGGATGAACATAGTGATTCTATATACTTAAAATGTAATTTTTCGTTTGTGTTTTCCTTTTTTGTATGGACCGTTGCACATGTTGTCAGTTACAGACATAGGATTAACAGTCACGGATATAAACACAAAATATGTCTTCATTCGTTTTCAGAACTGATCCCAGTTTTGTGTACAGAAGGTTTGTGGTTACCTTAAACGATGACCTCGCCTCAAGATACAATACACAAGGTATTCTCTAGTGAAATGTTTATCTACACAAAGCAATCCTATAAAGACGTGTTCATTAGTGCACATTTCAGAAAAAAATTTATCATCCGTTTTGAAATGTCCGTTATTTTAGTTATGGATATTTGTGTGACCTAAGTGTTAACACGGAGTACGTTCCGAATGGGGGTTAATGTGTGTAACTCTTTTCAAGGGAAAAACATACGTCTGAAGCTCATATATTCCATGGGCATTAATGCAAGATATAAACAGTTTCTTTATCACTAATTTCTAAACCGCTATGCACAATCGCTCAAATATATTACATATCACTTTCGAGTTACTCGAGATTAATTGATAGATACGCCTGATCTGCGTCTTTTGTATTTATTAGTCCTCTTAATCCCCGCGATTGTTCAATGTTTTATGAGGGGATGTGATCTTATCCTTGATCTATATTAAAACATCTATCCTACTCAATCACAAAAATATAACCATTCACACATTAAGTTATGAACATGGTATGTCATTGCTATGTTTAAAAAGACATGACTGAAACAAATATTTGTTCTTAAGGTTTACCCAATATCAATGTCTTGCTCAATTCTTATCAAAAATACAATACCTGCTCGTAACATCAAGTCGTATCACCCAAGGATATATCAAAGTTGATATAACAGTCATATTAGATCCATCTAAATTGCATCTTGAGAGTTTGTATCTGAAATCATCAACCCAGTAGATATGATCATTAGCTGAATCAACAGCTATTCCTTTTGGAAATGTCGCAGTCTAGACAACTGTCTGTAATATTCTGTTATGTGAGGGATAGGGAAATCTATATAAATTAAAAAAAAACATTTCTGAAATTTCAAAAAAGTAAAACAAAAAATACCGAACTCAAAGTAAAATTCAAATCGGAAAATCCCTTTTCAAATGGCAAAATAAAAAGCTCAAACACATCAAACGAGTGGAAAACAACTGTCACATTAGCTACTTATATCATTAACAAACTCTCTACTATTTAAACCATGTTACAAACAAACACATTTCATTTTTTACATCAGAGCGGATGTTTGTAAGTAACAAACAATATTGAAGCGATTGTTTTTTATCCAGATAGTCAGAAGATGCTGCCACTAACTTGAATCATTGTTGCAATTTGGAAATCAGAGAGGTTAACATTTCAAAAAGGGAATGTAGTCCATACGCTTTATATGATTCATTCACATTTGCTCTTCAGTCATAGTTGTCATTTGTCTCTTCCCTGTAATCCACTAATGTTTTCTTTCTTTTTAAGCTTGTTCAACTTAACAGAAGTATTATGAAGTTTCTATGAAAAAATCATCCTTATTATTTGTATCTCAATCTCAAGTTTTTTGTTATTCAAACACACATACTCTGTTCTTAGGACTCATAATAAAGGTATTTCGCTTGACCAATATATCTTATGTTTATTACTGTGAATGTTTAATATTATTACATTAAAATGTAGCCTAAAAATATAGATAAGTAACAGAATCTGAAGCGAAATGGTTTATCAAATAGGGTTGCTTAATACGTTTTCAAGATAAAACAGTCAAAACAAACACTCCTAAACATGAAAAGTCGTACCCGACTTTTGGATGAGATGATTGCCCATTTTTGGACTTTTTTTACGAAAAAATGTTATCAGTGGCAGAGGTGCAAATTGTTGCTATAAACAGATCAATCGTTTATCTTTCTGCAGGCGGAATTTATGCTCAGGCAGAAAACAGATCCACATATATTTGCACCTACCTCAATCGCTTGTTTTGAGAACATTTTCTTTTAATTTAAAAGATTTACAAATATCTCTAAGCTACATACTATAATATAAGTATAAACAAATATATAAGATGCATCATTTTTTCACTTATATTTAAAAGCCCATAGAAACAGATGTAAACAATTCAGATATAGTAACTAGGCCAATTTTACACCCTGTAATAAAGAGCTCTATTTCTTTTCTTTTTTTTTCTTTTCAACTGGATATCAGCCTGATTCATGATCTTCGTATTTGGCTATTTGGCTTTTGTTATAAAATTTGATGAAATTCATTATTAGTTTCAAGCTATTTTTATAGTTTATTGATTTAAACCCACGCTATTTTCGACCTACAGATTTCGTGAAGAATCATTGTTGACAGTATTAAGGACACATGATAAATCTAGTCGGATCGGATACAAATGTTGGACTTGTTTCTCAGTATAATTGAAATTCCTTAGATAATTACTGTTTGTTTTACTAGTGCTAATTTTGTATAAATAATAACATTAACGATGCTAATTTTACTGCACCAAATGGGCATTTCGACAATGAATGTGTCTTCAGTAATGTTCGAGGCAAAACTATTTGCAAATGCCAAAACCTAATAAACATTTTGAAGAGCTAATAGTGTTAAATTAACTTTAATTGTTTTCTACAATGTTGTATACTATGTCTTGTTCAGGAGTTGTCTTCCCTAAAAGGACTGTCTGTTCAACTCTTTCTTTGTAAATAGTTGTGATTTAATCATTTTGTATGTGACACTTCAATTAATTTTATTAACGAAAAATTTACTTTTTTAATATCTTTCTAATGATAAGTATATTAATACGAACACTACTTTTACAACATGTCAGAAAATAATACAAACTTTAATTTAATTTAATTTTTGTGTATCCAGGTGACAAAGTGCGTCAATGTATTCGGTAATTATATACTAATGTTATATATTTGGCTCATAGTTAAGCAGAATTATTGATTCATGTTTTGTTGTTCAATTTTTTAGCTCCACTTTCAAATGATACAAGAAAACAAATAACATGATTATTTTTGGTTAAAATTCCAGAAGATGCCTAGATATAAGTCTATCAAAATATTCATATTATTTCTAAATATACTAGTATCATTTAATCTCTTGAACTTGTATTACTAAACCAATCGATCCAGTAAAGTTAACAAAAAGGATCATGGCTGTTTTAAAAAATTCTCACAGTTAACATCATGCACAAAAAAGACATACACATTCACATTCGTTGTGCATTAGGTATCAGTCTATCGGATACCAGTATTTCTCGATATTCACAAGCATTGGTTACAGCTGACCATTTCGTGGAACAAAAACTTTATACATTTTGCTTGACATAAAATATGAAAATAATGATAAATGGCTTTATATACGTTATATGAAAAAGAACCATGAAGATTAGAATACAACGTGTTCGAATCGAGATATACCCCAAACAGGAGCCCAAACAGAAACTTAATATGGGCACGATGGTTACACAAATAAATAAATAGAAATGAAAGACCAATATCAGAATTGAAATAAACGGATGCATGTTAAATCAAGACATCACATTTCAATGTGTTTTAGTCTGAAGCTGTAGAACAACTTTGTAGCATTTGTCATTACAACGATAACATTGGCATGGTCCGTATTAAATCATTATCTGTCGTATTATAATTAAATCTAAATATAACAGAGACAAATTCAGTGTTTTAAATTTTTAAATGTTTTTTGAAATGTATTTTCTTCGGAGGACCTAAATCGTTTATTTAGGTCCTCGAAGAAAATACATTTCAAAAAACATGTTTTTTGTTTTTTTTTCCGTGGATCTAATTGTTTTAAAAAGAACTATCCTTCTTAAATTGCCAAAGTCGAAGGTTCTGAATCACCAGTTAGAATTAAGTTTGATTTTGGTCTTTTTTTCACAAGAGGTTACCATGTCCACGTGTGCCATAAGAAAATTGATACAAAACTTTTTGTTTTTTAAATTACTATATAAACAGACTGTAAACTGACTGTGAATAACGCCGTATTCTTTCCCTTAAAGAAGCATTCTTATACATAGATCAGTGAGTTTAAGATAATTTCTTTAAAGATTTGCCTGTAAATTAACGTGTTTTGTTTTTGTTTTTTTTATATTCGAGATTTCTAGATAACTACAATATTTGTTCATAAGGAAAACCAAAGATTCATATATATTGGTTAACCACGATGCGAAGCATATTTTCTAAAACAGTACTCCGATTCTACCAAAAACGTATTTGAAACTAGGAGATATCTGTTGTATTCATATTCGGGTCAATTCGATGAAAGTCTTAACAAGACAGCTGTTGTAATGCGAGTTTTAATTCATGTTTTTTATAAAGTTACTGAATACAGATTAGGTTGACAGCTATGGAACATCTGTGCCACATATGTACATATTTGTCAAAGCCATAATTCTGCCTTAGCGATGAGACCCCCTAAATAGGTGTTCGATTCGAAAAGCTAGATGCATACAAATATTTGTTCTGAAACAAATGTTAAACCTTATGCCTGAAATCTGAAATCTGAGATTTCCAAGCTTAGTGTTCGTTCTGATGGTTCTGAAAAAATTAAATAAACCCACATAGGTTTATACAGTATAATAATCAGCATACCGCATAATGTCTCCTTGCCCAGTTTTTGGAAAATATACATATCCGTTTCCATAATTGTAATCCAAGGCATACACATTACCTTGTACATCCTCAAACAGTACAGTCACATTTCGTGTAGCAACATCAAATTCCTTAATGGAAGGATAACTTGAAAACAAAATTTTTCCAGGGTAAGCTGAAAATACATCGGTCCAACTATGATCTAATATGTAATATTAACAAATTACTTCATATATTAATTAAACAGAAAAATTAAAATCATCTTATCAATGTTATGGGGAAAAGCATGTGATTTTGCCAATAATAAGATACATACAAGTTTAAGGATTATCTCAAATAAATGTTGTTAGCAACATAATATTCACAGAAGTATTCCATAGATATCAGAGAGCACAACTAACAGAACGTTCACTAAGAACACTTGAGGCAAACAGATTTGAAGGTGAAATCAAGAAAAATAGTAACTTATAATCATCATGAAAAAAGCCAAATTATCTTATTGTGGTAAAGTTTGCCTAAATATTCATGTTTTATAGCAACCAATGACCTCACTTTAAGTAAACAATACATAAATTTTGGCTGAATTTTTACGTAGCACTGAATAATCTTTGGTCAATATCAGATAAGATTTTCAATGCAAACAAAAGTTGTTTGAAGAGAACGAATTATGTAAAGTGTGAACCAATGTCACATTTTACTGGAAACCATCTTTATTAATGGATCTTCATTTTGAAATAGCTCATTACTGATTTTTTTTTAATTGTAAACTGATGAGTCAGACATGTATTACATGCAATGTTGGTGAAAACAAAGTAAACATTTCGCACACTTATTTTTCATTGTGTGGTCTAAACTAGTAGAATTTCATATGTTTTTACAACAAAAGATGTTGGTTCTATTTCATATTGGTGACTCTGATTAAAAAAAAATAAGGCATGAGGAAATATTCATATTTGGTTGATTTTGATTTCTTTATTGATGTAATTGTTTGTAAATTTCATGATATTGAAAGCGAGATATTGTATCTTCAGAAGAAGGGATTTACTGGAAAATAAAAACATTTCGGTTGACTTAATCAGACTATTTGAATACACTTTAAGACATAATATTACTAACTGTAATGCAAATAGTAGGGTGTAAGATGTATAAAAAAGGTTTTCCAAAAACAATTGTTAAAGGATGGTTAACTTGTTAAAGATTTCATTCAAAATATAATTACCTTTGTGTATTCAATTTGATGATTTATGATGATATGTAGTTGATCATTGTTTTCTGAACAGTATTGAGCTATATTGTGTATTGTGTTGAATATTTAAGAAAGATAAACAAAAATGAGCAAGTTTGAATAAATATTTATTATTTAAGAAAAATAAGTCTATATAAAAAAAAAAACCAAGATAAGCAAACCGTTTGTGCACGTCTCTAAAAACATTTCAGAAAAAAAACTATCTAGGTGACACAAAATTGTTTTATACAACACTCATTATTGATTCTTCGCATTATTTATAAAAAGTAAATAGTGTCACTTGTTTACGCTGTTAAAATATGTATTATGTTTACCGTTTTTATATATATCTGCATTTTCACAAAAATCGTCTTGTATGAGAAATTTACCAATAATACAAGTAAAAATAAAGGAACAAACTATAAGATACCCTTATAAAGTATGTCAAGAACACGAGTGTCAGCTCAATTTACTATAGTAATATGAAAAGTGTTTATTTTTGATTCAATGATTCTAAACATTGGTATGGATTTTTTTCATGGACACAGAATAGTAAATATCTATTATTTTAATAATTTGAGAAGAATGCAGTTTTCTCAATCAATATGAAATCCCAGTTGCCTCATCTTTTCTATAAAAAAAAATAATCTGCTGCAATGATCGAAATGGATTACTAAAGTAATAATAACTAATTTCAAAATTTTACAAGAACTAATGCGAATTCAACACTATTTTGATATTTTAACGGATTAAAGCAACATCAGTCTCACGTGTCAGTAGTCGTTCATTGTAAGTCACTGTATCAAAAATCTAAATGATGTGCCAAGAGGGACGAAAGATACCAGATGGACAGTCAAACTCATAGATTGAAAATAAACTGACAACGCCATGGCTAAAAATAAAAAGAAAAACAGACAATTAATAGTACAAAAGACACAACATAGAAAACAAGACTAAGCAACACGAACCCCACCAAAAACTGGGGGTGATCTCAGGTGCTCTGGGAGGGTTAGCAGATCCTGCTCCACATGTGGCACCCGTCGTGTTGCTTATGTCATTAGCCAACTTAGTTCATGTAATATATATGATGATTTATGGACTTTGGAATAATCTAAATGATAGCATATAGAATCACAAACAAAGTGTCCTAGAGACGATGAAGTCGCTATCAAATAAAAGGTTAAGCGAGTTTTTGCTGATATGCATTTGAATTTCTTTTATTCTATTATTATGATGGATAAAATAATCGAATGCATTTAATGATTCTTCAAAAACAACACTAACGGTTGAGTTACGTACCACCCATACCTGATACGTAGTAAATCAGGAATCTGTAGCCTGATTTATGCTGTCGAACAACGTTTATCTATGGCTAGATAAGAAATACAACTGTTGGGTAGTTCATGTAGGTACTGCTACTGCAGGAACGAGTATCATTGTCAATCGTATCAGACGTCGTATGTTGTGTTAAATTCATTGTAAAATGTTTAATTGACTCATTCATTGCCTGCCTATCTTAAATTTCAACAAATATTTCAGGACCTATTTTTTTGTTTCAACGCAGTATTGCACCGTTTATTACTACATGATGACTAATGTAGGCGTTTAGACTAATTGTGAATGATAATTACATGTATAATGTAACTGTGTCAGAAAAAAAGAATTGAGTAGCAGCTTTTTCTTTCTTCTTTATATGACCATATTTTTCTCAAAAGGTTGAAAATAACTCGAAACTAAATTTAAGCAACAGATCAAATAGAAAGAAACAAACATAAATCGCAACTGTGTATCGTGGTTTCAAATATCAAGCTATTACATGTAATATGCAACATTTTACAAATTCATTACTGGTAGAATGTGGTTCATTATCTGTATGTCATAATCATAATGGTCAATTTTAAATTTATATTTTTTTTTAAAGCTCAATAGTTTTGTTAAACATATAAAATATGCCCTCTAGACACTACAAGCCCTCATTACGTAAAGCGTTTTTACTAATTTGATATAAAAGATGCGATTGAAAAAAGATAGAAAATCTTTCAGGACACAAAGTGTGCAAAGAATTGTAAACTGGTATTCGAATCAGTACATAATAGAAAAACAAAGGACAATGGGTATCCCAAATGTACAGGTAAACGCACACAAAAAGCAAAGGGACATCGCTTTGATTGCTGTTCTTCATATCAGATTCACTAGGAGGCCTTCAACATGCAGCAAAACAAAACTATCATGTACGTTATCAAGTCGTATATTAGTATACAACTATGATTAAATAAATGTACTTATGATTCATTAGACTATTTACTTTCAAAGTTCCGTTTAGAGTAATGCAAAATTTAAGGTTTTCATGTCGTATAACACCCCGATGTGTGTTATGTGACAGAAAACCCTTAACATATGCGACACCTAGCTAATATACGATAAACATATAGTATTGTCTGCAAAAAAAGGCAGGATCTGTATCCTATTTTCCAGAATACATGTAAGTGATATATTCTTTTCTCCTGTGTTTAGGTTTAATACGTCCCCATACTATTTTATAATGTGAAATAAACTAAATATTCAACTTAAATGTAAACTTAAGAAATAATTGTCCCTTAACAAGAAAATAGTATTGAAATTTCATGTAGCAATAACATTAATTGCTACGCTGTATGAGATAAACAAGTGACTTTCTAATTAATTGATAATGTTTACTTTATATGAAGGGAATGGGTTGTGTTTTCTCTTGTTTCATGAGATACTTACCGTGAAAAACCATATTATTCTTTCAACTATTCCAAATAATTGTGTTTTCTTTTGTTTGGAAATATGAACAAAAGAAGTCTCTTTGAAATTTACTACATTAATTTTATAAAAGGTGGATGCTATAGTATTGTCTTGTTTTATTCCCTTTTAACCGTGGAAAAGCAGATTACTTATTCAACTATCAACAAGATTTTTTTTTCTTTTGTTTGAAAATACAACTTTTTCTTCAAAAATCAGGATAAAATATTAACCCCCAATTATGAAGTACAGGGAATTTCCTTTACTAAAAAAGAGTTTATTCAGTCATTTAATAGATTATATTTTTATATATATATATATGTATATATATACAAATGAAAAAAAATTGGAAACTCCACAAAGACAGCACAACATTGTAGTTTTCTGGTATTTCAGTAAAAAAAAAAAACAACAGAAGAATGGATGGATTCTTCCTGAAACATATTTAAGACGGAAGATTAAGAAATAAAACCATAATTGCCAGCAGCACAATAATACTATTAAATGAATTGAATGATTGAGCAAACTATAGCTTGCATTTTCATGAGGGAACATATTGACTCACACAGGTCGTTTTTATATCTAGTAGCACATTTTATTTTGAAACTTGGTATTTTCCGACTTGTTTCTTCAAATGGAATGCCTATCGTTCTGCAAGAAAATAGCTCCACATACATGCAGGTACATAACTGAGGATACACAAGGATATCGGACGTGCATGCTTATCATGCATACAACTATCACAAATAGTCAAAATAACGTGGATCTTATAAGGTCATTTACAGATAGACAGTTTTCTCATAAATATGTTATTAAATCTCCATAATGCCTACAACTTGAATACCATACAAAATAATACTTACTTGATGCCAGAAGACTACAATGAAGTAAAATACGCATACAAAACCAGACTTGCACTTCCATTGCCGTCAGTACCAGGATTTCTTCAAACTTTATTTGACAGATTACGGTGAATCCTTCGGTTTGTATAATTTGATTATGTAAGCGTACTTTTATTCCAGGCGTATTT